TGTAGGCTGGCTGCTCTGTGTGGTTTTGGTGAGGATGAAAGCCCTGAGTCTGCTGCTGTTCAAGAGGAAATACGACTGACCTGTACACAGTTTGTGAGATACCACAAAGATCAGTGCGTTCAGGATATTGTTCGCAATAGAGGGTGAGTGTCAGTATTAATTTAGTATCAGTGTTGTTTTATATTTTATATATGTCTGTAGTTTTTATAGATTTTTATTTTAGGTTTAGTTTGAGTTATTTTAGTACTTCAAGTTAAGCTAAAAGAAAATGAATGAGAATTATTTATTTTGAATTATTGTATATTAAATATTTTATTTTATTATTTCATATACTTTTTTCAATGACACACATGATTTTATGGTTGTATTTTTAGTTTTAGTTAATGATGATATCCCTGGTGAATCTGTGTTTGAGATGTTTAATGTTCATATATTTTATAATTGGTTAAACTGGAATCATTTTAATTAATCATTTGAAGCAGTATTGTTGCACTGTACTATAGATGTTTTCTATTGCATTTTCATTTTTGCACATTCTTTGCATTTTTCCACATGCCACATTCTCCAGTTGTGGATCACAAACACACATATTATTATCAGTTTATTTATGGGCCATTTTTCTTCATAGGTAGAAGAAATGTGTTTCCAGGAATTTGTTATTAAATTAATATAACATAATACAGACCAGTCATATATTTTAGCAATTTGTAGATTTATATTTATACATTTTCTGTGAGGATGCTCTAGCAAACTAAATAGTGCCACAGTCACAGGTTTACACTGTTTGGGGAATCAACAATAAAGGTGAATCTACATTAAAAGGTGAAGTGTGAAAAACTTCATCTTTAAATCTCCCTTCTGACATTTCCTGTCCATTTTCTCTTTTATCTGTTTCTCTCACTTTCTTCCTAGCGGGTCTTCTGAATCTCTCACCGGACCAGTTGGTGAATCCTTCCTTTGATTGACAGGTGTACTCACTGGTATATGAGTATGGTGTAGTATACTGGCAGTGAGTTCATTGGCTCCTGTGTGTGGGCGTGGCTAAGACAGAAAGGCGCGGCCTTGCCTTCAGGACACAGCTGCAGAAGAGTGGTGTCTTACTCCATGTGACCCATATATATGGCTTCCAATTCCCTGTGATATTGCTTCAAATGTACCTCCACTTTGTAATGTGACACAAGCCCAAGAAAGAACTAAATAGACTGAGCTATGAAACAAGTTGTTCTCTCATCAGTATTTGTTGTACTTATTACTATGCATGGCATGCAAAGAGCACAGAACTCTCCCTTTATCTCATTCAATGGCCCTCAAATTACACACACACTTGCTCTGTTCCAAATCCTAGTGAGCTGCCAATGGAGGCAGCATTTTCTAAGGCATCATAGGCATGCTTCGGCAAAAGGCTGTTATGAAAGGTGAGCAACATGGTTATGCTGCTGTAATTTTAGCCGTATTTTAAGGCAGCTTAGCATGTAGACTTTTTGGAAATGCAAGCCCAGAATACACTGATACAATCTTCAGTGAAAAATAAGTCCAAGAGGCAAATTAAAAATGTGTTATTTTGTCCTGTATTTATGTGTGCTATGTATTTATGGGTATTATTCTTATATATGCTCATCTTGCAAGTTGAGTCTCCTATGCAGTACCCTATTTTTATGATGCACAGGGTTGTGTTTCTAAATAGTTGACAAGGACGCTGCTTTAGTAGGTTTTGGAACAGAACATGAATGTGAACTAATTATTATAATTACATTAATTATGATGAAATGGTCGCTGAAACACTGAAATATGCTGTCTACACAAGTTCTGTAAAAACACTTCTGACTGGGATTTGAATTGTATGCTTTGTGTTACTTGTCAGCCTCGTCTTAATGACAAGACTATACGGCCTTGTAGCAAAGCAATGCAAGACATGTTTACAAACCTAAAATTATCCTACAGTTAAGTTTTTAGAGCTAACTAAGCATAAATTCAGGACAATCTGGAATTTACAATGGGGTCACTCCATTTTCAATCTACAGCATTATTTTATGTACCTTAATGTTGACTAAAGTGAAAATTCTCTTTAAAAAAAAAAGCATTTTTTAATGTATGTAAATTTGTTTTGCTGGTGTTAATCTATATAGGTGATGGCATTTATATATATCATAAATTTAAATCTAGATATGTGAAATGACATTAGAAAGCAGGAGGGCAGTCACTGGTGAAAAGTTATTGTTTATTTCTTTGTTGATGTCATAAACGGTTTAATTTTATGTAAAAAAAAAAGAAAGAAAGTAATTTCTGTAATACTGTTCATACATTAAAGTCAAAAACCGTGTCAAAAGCTGTACCAATTAAATGGCAAATGCAGAGCAGGTTTTATATGTTTAAAGGGCAATGTTTTAAAAGGCAATTTGATAGTGACTGATTTATTTATATAAGAATTTAGCCCACTAACTGACAATTTCTGAAACAAGTTCTGTAACAGAAACGCAACACTATTACATTTGGGATGATCTTCAGTGTATATTGTGGCTAGTCAAAATAACACTAGATATCTTCAGTGTATATTTTGACTAGTCATAATTACTCAATATTGTGGAATAGATATCTGGAAATCATATTTTTCTCTAGTCAAATGAAATTACGACTAGCAGAGTCAGGTGTATTAAATGTTAAAATGGGTTGCCATATCCCTGTGGGCTTCAAATAGTAAATGGAGGGCCATAGTGTCACTCCTCTTGAGATGCTACTTATTACTTATTGTGGCCGGATGTATTATTCAAATTAATTAACATTCAAAGTGATAAACATAAACTAGAAAAACAGGAGGCATAACCTCGCAAGAACTCAAGCATAATAGAAATGGTTAATATTTCCAGATCATATATTTCCCTGCTAAAACAACACACAATTTTTGTGTAATTTATTTTTAATATGGCACACCAGTGACCAGAGTTGGGGAAAGTTACTTTTAAAAGTAATGCATTACAATATTGCATTACTCCATAAAAAAAGTAACTAGTTACGTTACTTTTTTTATGGAATGTAATGCGTTACGTTACTTTTGCGCTACTTTTTAAATCTGGACAGGGCTTGCTTGTTTGTTTTTAAAATAAAACTGTTCTATTTTTGGCAAATATAAAGGCCTTTTCACACCAGAAGTGAAATGAATAAGCCTCGGGCTGAAGGGAAAGTAAATTTACGTCCGTACAGTAGAATGCAGAAGAAGAAATTTCAACACGCACATTACTTTACTAGTTACTTGAAAAAAGTAATCTGATTACGTAACTTGTAATATATTACCCCCAACACTGCCAGTGACAGGAAACACTTGAGGACGTGAGAGGATCCTCTGATGCAGCTGGGACAGAATCCTCTTGAACCAGAGCAGCTTTAGCAGGAAGCCCCTTTGATGGTGGACATGACGGGCATCAGTGTGACCGGGTTGGTCATGTCAGGAACCTCTGGAAAGCTTTGCAACTGGAGGAGCTGCCATGACACAGAGCTTTGGAACCGTAACTGGTCCTGGGGTTGCAGAAGCAGGAACCTTGGTTAAAAGTAATAGCGAGAATGCCTCAGAGAAGTGGATTTAGTTCTAAGAAAAACATTAGAATCGTCTGTTTACATATGTCACGTGGTCTGACAATTTGCCTATTGCAATGACATATTGTAAATGTGGGTGAACAATCGTGTAACTTTACTTTTGGTCTCAAAACCTTACAGTTAGTGAGATACTTAACTAGTGAAACAACTAGACTCATTAGAATTCAACATTTGTTAAATTCCAAGCATCTTCTGGAGTGTGTGAGATCATATTCTTCTTCTGTGGATTTATTGGCGGGTTGCAAACCACCTGGAAAGGTTCATACCGCCACCTACTGTACTGGAGTGTGATGAAGATGAACACTTTTATATTCGGTTCTTTAGACCGCTATTTCTCAGGAACTTCATTAAAGCTGTAATTGTTTGATCAAATTCTACTTCTGCCTTTAAAATATTATATAAGGTAAATTCCATAATACCCAAAGCTTGCATATCTCTTATAAGATCAATTCTTTCCTGTTCATATTTTTTTTATATCTAATCAAAACATGCTCAACAGTTTCCATTTCCTGACATGCATTACATAAACCAGAATTATGTTCGCCGATTATATGAAGTGTTGCATTAAGATTAGTATGACCCATTCTTAATCTTGTAAATGTAATGAAGTCCTTCCTATTCATATGATGCTTAATTTTACCTTGTTTTTTCCTTTTTTACTTGAGTTCCAGTATTACTGCCATTTACTCCTACAAACGTGCTCAATCACAGACTTTCCTTCTGCCCTGCTTAAAGTGACTGTTTGGTTTCTTACTTATGCGTTTACGTGCGTTTACCCTAACGTCATTACGTCGTAACTCGTTTCGACCAATCACAATGTGAGGATTCAGGGCTCTTCCGGTATACACATTCTTTCCGTTTAATCGGCCGAAGTGTGGAGCAACGTGTGTTCGTTTGAGCACAGCGAAATTCCTCATCTGCTGACAGACATAGTGTGATATCAAGGTGATATAAGCATAGGCTTTATCTTATTTATGTATGCATCGCTTAAACGTGCTATTTTTGTTTAAATGGTCTGTTTTGTGGCATATTGGCCCCTTCATATGACCGGCATGCTAACCAGCTATACACACTAATGAATTGGGAATGGGGGTATTGATGCTCTGGATGCACATGTGGGTCTCTGTTGGCTTCCTAGCGAGTAATGAAGCACCCCTACCTCTACTAACCCGGCTGTCAGTTGGCAGTGGCGCAGAGATTTATAAACAGTGACTGATATGATACACGTATGCCTTCTCTTACTTGTCAGGGAGGGGCATATTTAGCCTCTCTTGCAGTGCATAAGGCTGGTCAGTTTACACTTAATGCGGGGGCTATTTTGGGAACCTGGTGCCATTGGTTTCACTGTCGTGAAATGGCAACTAGTTACTGCAGTTAGCCAGGCGAAGAAGTTACATGTTGCCTGGCTTCTAACGCATCTTAATTATGCAAAATATACTCCATTGGTAATATTGCAAGAGAGTACTGACAGCATTTAACAATGGCTCCTAAAAAGGTGTGGTAGTTGTAGTGTATGCCTGGTTATTTTGCTTGAATAATTATGTAATGCATTAAAGTGAAAGTAGGTATTATTGTTTTTTTTCCCACAGATGCCTCCAAAGAAGGGAGGAGATGGACCAAAACAACCCCCCCTGATTGGACGTTTCGGGACTTCCTTGAAAATTGGAATCGTTGGGTTACCAAATGTAGGGTGTGTGTCAGTCCCAGCTGGCACTCTGGCTGTATGCATGTGCGCTGGGTCAATTGGTTTGAAGTCTGCAGTGAAATAGTGTCAGAGTGATAAAGTGTGAATGCTTGACCTAGTTGCGTTTTATTCGTGCTTAATGGAAACCTATCCTGCTGTAATGTGTGAAATTATTATAAGGATGATGACTCATGATCATGGTGTGTTATGAAAATGACATCATCCTGCTACAGGATGGGAAATAGTTTTTGAAAGGCTACGAAGTGAGGCTGTGTCCGAATTTGCCGCCTTCCGTGCTATATAGTATGCACGTTCACCAAAGAGTATGCATAAAATTCATAGTATTCGCAAAACGGTTGGTAAAAATGCAACCAATGCTGGTAGGTCATGTGACAGTGACAACATGATGGCAGTGATATGTCCGGATTTTATTCATACTATATGGAACATATTTTTTTTATACAGCGGTGAAGTAAGGTGCAAACCAAGTGGTGAAAGGTGCTCACGCAGGCCAGGGTTTGGGTAACGCCTTCCTCTCTCACATCAGTGCCTGTGATGCCATCTTTCATATGACACGCAAGTAGATAGCTATTTCAAACCATTTCTGAATATGTTTATTTTTTTTGATTTTATGAACTTCATGTCTGCTGTACGTGAAATGTATCTGCTAGTTACAATGTAGTTGGAAAGATGAATTAAATAACTCGACAACATGGAAAAAAAAAAACCCTCATGAAATTTCCAAAAAGCCATGAAAACTTCTACAGCAAATGTAAATTGACATTGTGACAGTTATCTGGCATGCATCCTCTTTAAATCTTGGATTTAATTCACGCCTGAGAAACCTGATGTTTTGTTCCATATGTTTGTATTTCAAATAAAATAACCCTGATAATGTGTATATGCAACCATTTGTGTGTAGGAGCTTTTGAGGATGAAGATATTATCCATGTTGAGGGCTGTGTTGACCCAGTGAGGGATATTGAGATCATCCATGAAGAGCTGAGGATGAAGGATGAAGAGATGATTGGGCCAATCATTGATAAACTTGAGAAAACCGCTGTCAGGGGAGGAGACAAAAAACTCAAACCTGAATATGTGAGTGAACTATATCCCAGTATGCATCTGACCACTGCAGAATTAAAACATTCTTCCTACTCTGTACATTAACAGAAAGCACTTACATTTTTTTGTTTTCTCTGCTTGCAGGACATCATGTGTAAAATAAAGTCCTGGGTTGTTGATGAAAAGAAACATGTTCGTTATTATCTTGAATGGAACGACAAAGAGGTTGAAATCTTTTTTCTTATCATATTTGATATAATTTCTTATCATGTTTCTTTGATCAGATTGAGGTTTTGATTATACACTGTTTTTTCTTCTTATTATTATTATTCTCCAGATTGAGGTCTTGAATAAGTATCTGTTCTTGACGTCCAAGCCGATGATCTACTTGGTAAACCTCTCGGAAAAAGATTACATCAGGAAAAAGAATAAATGGTGAGATGACATGTTAGCTGTTCATCTGCTGTTATGTCAGGGGAGGAGACAAAAAACTCAAACCTGAATATGTGAGTGAACTATATCCCAGTATGCATCTGACCACTGCAGAATTAAAACATTCTTCCTACTCTGTACATTAACAGAAAGCACATACATTTTTTTGTTTTCTCTGCTTGCAGGACATCATGTGTAAAATAAAGTCCTGGGTTGTTGATGAAAAGAAACATGTTCGTTATTATCTTGAATGGAACGACAAAGAGGTTGAAATCTTTTTTCTTATCATTTTTGATATCATTTCTTATCATGTTTCTTTGATCAGATTGAGGTTTTGATTATACACTGTTTTTTCTTATTATTATTATTCTCCAGATTGAGGTCTTGAATAAGTATCTGTTCTTGACGTCCAAGCCGATGATCTACTTGGTAAACCTCTCGGAAAAAGATTACATCAGGAAAAAGAATAAATGGTGAGATGACATGTTAGCTGTTCATCTGCTGTTAGTGAGTCCTTCCTCAAGTGCTTATACTTAAAGGGATAGTTCACCCAAAAATGAAAATTCTGTCATTAATTACTCACCCTCATGTCGTTCCAAACCTGTAATATCTTTGTTCATCTTCGGAACACAAATTAAGATATTTTTGATGCATTCCAAGAGCTCTCTGACCCTACCATAGGCAGCAAGGATCCTAACACAATTTCTATGCAAGAAACAAGAGTATCAGATCAAAGTGTAAACAATGTACCTGCATACATACGCTGCATACATTGTTTACATATGTGATACTAGGGCTGCACGATTAATTGAATGCGATTGTCATGCGCATTTTGTTAAAAAAGCCGGTTCTGTAATCAGCAGGAAATCATCATCACGTGCTTTCAGATGTAGCAGCCTTTACTACACATAGCCGTAGTTCACTGACAAGTTATGCAAAAAAAATCGCAGACGATTTTATTGCGCGATTCTGAAATCGAAGAAATCGTTCGCGATAATGACAGCTGTTTGCATAGCTTCTCAGTGAACTATGGCTCTGTGAAGTAAAGGCTGCTCCATCTGAAAGCATGTGAAAATACCACATTTAATAACATGTTTTTACTCCAAACTCACTTCATAACGTCAGTCGAGTGTTTGAAATAAATCCTTCTGTGAGATGATGTGGCTTCTTACACAGAATAAGGCACGCAACATATTTCATAGTATTTAAGCAGTGATAAAGGCATTGCATTATAAATATACTTTATTTTAATGAAAATTATTATAATAAGAACTCAGATAAACCGTATATTGCCGTAGTCGCGTTTATTAGTCACGTTGAATCAATGAAAGCAGTTGAATCTTCTGTTTATTCAGCTGCAGCGATAGGCATTTTTTGGGTTTCTTCTGCAGGCGTATTTGGAGTTTCAGCGCGAGAGCGCCCTCTGGCCTTTGGATGGAGATTTACTGCTGATCACAGAACAGTGCTTCACTAAAAGATACGCATGACAATCGCAGCTTCTGTCGAATCGCAATCTCGATTCCATTTCGATTTATCATGCAGCCCTATGTGATACTCACCAAAATGGCGCTATAGGGTGACGCAGAGGAGACGAATTGTTGAATAAAGTCGTTATTTTTGTTTTCTTTGTGCACAAAAAGTATTCTCGTAGCTTCGTAATATTACGGTTGAACCACTGATGTTACATGGATTATTTTAAAGATCTCCTTGCTACGTTTCTAAGCCTTGATCGTGTAAGGATCCTTGCTGTCTATGGGAGAGACAGAGAGCTCTCGGAATTCATCAAAAATATCTTAATTTGTGTTCCGAAGATGAACAAAAGTCTTACAGGTTTGGAACGACATGAGGGTGAGTAATTAATTACAGAATTTAAATTTTTGGGTGAACTACCCCTCTAAATTCAGCCTTTAATGTTATCCCAAAGTTCTCCTAATGTTCATTTATGTATAAACACACAGATGTAGCCGTATGTATTGACAGCAAACAAACCTGTGTGCTCGTACAAAATCTTTATCTCGTTCACTATTGCCTATATAGTAAATGCCACATTTCAGACATATACATTGTAGCGTGATTTGACAGATCTAGATTATTTTCAAATTTAAATGATGGAGCCGTTTTGTGCTTTTCAGTTACGTTTCTAGTTTGGACTTTCTTTTGCTTGTCCAACTAAAATGAAACTGATTTTCAAACGTCATATGTGTTAATTGAATGCTGTGTATAACTTTGAATAATTAACTGTTAAATCAAAGCCTGACAGATATGTTGTGTGGCCTCTTAAAGGTATAGTTGACCCAAAAATTAAAAATCTGTCACCATTTACTCATCCTCATGTCATTCCAAACTTGTACGACTTTTATTCTTTTGTGGAACACAGAAGATATTTTTAAGGACTAAACATTTTTGCTAAATATACACTTATGGTTCCCATTGACTTCCATTGAATGAACAAAAAATTCAGTATTCTTCAAAATATCTTCTTTCGTGCTCAGCAAAAGAAAGAAATGCATACAGGTTTGTAACAACATGAGAGTGAGTAAATAGTGACAGAGTTTAGATTTTTGGTGGAACTATCCCTTTAACGGGACTGCTTCCAGATTGTGATTGTCAAGAAATCAATTATCGGGTGTCATCACTCCAGTAAACATGCAAAGCAGTATGGTAGGTATAATGGAGAAATTATTAACTTTAAATAACTGTGCATATTAGTCCAAATTGATGGATGCTTGTGTTTTGTGGCCTCGAGGAAATCTGAGTTTAGGGCCGCTTTTTTTGTTTTGTAGGTTGGCGAAGATCAGAGAGTGGGTTGACATTCATGATCCAGGTGCGCTGGTCATCCCGTTCAGTGGGGGATTTGAGAGCAAGTATCAGGATATGACTGATGAAGAGAAACAGAAATATTGTGAGGAGAACAAAACACAGAGGTCAGGATTTGCTCTCCTTCTGTTTCCTCTTTGCTGAATTTAAAAGATTAGTTCATCCAAAAAATGAAAATTTGGCAGCCAAGATGTAGACAAGTATGTTTCTTCATTGGATCAGATTTGGAGAAAGGAGAAACTACATCACTTTCTCACCAGTGTCTTCTCTGCAGTGAATGGGTGCCGTCAGAATGAGAGTTCAAACAGCTGATAAAAGCAATGCAATAATGCACAAGTAATCAACTTGACTCCACTCCTTCAATTAACGTCAATTAATCAGCAAAAACCTTGTGTGGATTGCTGTTATCAGATGCTTTTATCAGCTGTTGGAACTCTCACTTTGACGGCACCCATTCCCTCCAGTGGATCCATTGGTGAGCAAGTGATGTAATGCTACATTTCTCCAAATCTTTTCTGATGGAGAATGAATAAATAAACTCGGGTACATCTTGGATACATTTACATTACATTTACATTTAATCATTGAACAGACACTTTTATCCAAAGCAACTTACATAAAAAGAAAACAAGTAGGTAGAATAGGACAAGAATAGAGAATGCTAGTGTTAGAGGGTCAAGTTTTTTTTGGTTTGATTTTTTTTGTATTTTCATAAAAAGAAAACAAGTAGATAGAATAGAAATACAATTGAGAGTTCTAGTGTTAGAGACTATTTTTAGTGAGAGCCTGCATGTGATTAAATATTCATTTTGGGTGAACTATTCCTTTAAGAAATGTAATACTTTTTCACATGCAAAAAGCATTTTTTCAACAGTGCTCTAAATGCTGTAGTCAGTCATACTTCAGGTCATCATGCTTATTCTATAGTGATATCATAATTCGTGTTTTTCACGGTGTGAATTTTTTATTTTTTGTTTCAGTGTTCTGACTAAGATCATCAAGAGTGGGTATGCAGCCCTGCAGCTGGAGTACTTCTTCACAGCAGGACCTGACGAAGTCCGTGCATGGACCATCAGGGTGAGCAAAGCACATGTTCAGAAATGCATTTAACACCGATATATTCTGTTGCACCTCTAAAATATTATGCATGTGTTTGAACACCTTACAGAAAGGCACCAAGGCCCCGCAAGCAGCTGGAAAGATCCACACAGACTTTGAAAAAGGCTTCATCATGGCCGAAGTCATGAAGTTCGCAGACTTTAAGGAGGAAGGCAATGAAAACGCAGTTAAAGTAAGATCTTAATGGTGTGCTTGATGACATAAAATAGCATGGCTTGTTAAAGGTTGAACACTGAACTGATAATGTTGTCAAATACTTGCAGGCTGCAGGAAAATACAGACAACAGGGGCGGAACTACATTGTAGAAGATGGTGACATCATCTTCTTCAAATTCAACACACCTAATCAGCCCAAAAAGAAGTGAAGCCAGTTGGATGGACAGTACTGTCTATGGCACATGCTCAGTCTCTTCATTTATGGCTTTGGAACATTTAAAACACAATCGCACCTTAGTGGTGTATTAAGTACATTTTTTATTTTATTATTTTGGCTGATGGCTGAAATAAATGAAATGGCTGGTCTGCTTACAAAAGCTGCATGTCACACAGCAGTTTATTCTAATAAAACACTTCCTCAGACCAAAGTGCTTTCTGTTGAAGGTTCTTTCCCAATTGTCTCACACATTTCTAGATGTTTTAGTCATTGAGTAATCAAACGGTATGGATGGGATTTATTATGGAAGCTGTTTATGCCACAGGATTTAAAAAATAAATCCATAAAAAGGTAATTGCAAATTTCTATTTCCCAATTCAGGGTTTTTATAAGTTAATATTTTATATTGAAAGATATAAACTTGGCAATCACGAAAATAAGTCAGAATTGTGAGATAAAATGTTGCCTTTTTTTTTTAATTCCGTGGCAGCAACACAAAAAAATTAATCACGAGAAAAAGTCTGAATTGTGAGATAAAAAGATTTTTTTTAAAGTACAGGCCTCTATACTTTATGGTATTACGCTGCTGTGAAACCAACATTTATAGAGGTGTAGTTAACAGTTTATAGTGGTTGATTTAAGGTCCTTTTTATCCAAAAATAAACAAATACATTATACAATCTAACTGAAAGCATCCGGGAGAAAAATATTTTGTAGAATTAAATTTGTAGCATTGAGTTGCTGTTTGATTTCACTTTTATGATTTGTACTACACTGCGTCATGTAAGTACCGCCCCCATTACTCGTGAGAGGGCGTGGCCTTACATTTTGATTGACAGGCGGATTTTAATGGACCATTTAGAAGCATTGGTCGAAAATGTGCTTTTATATGGTTCCAAAACAAGTAGCATTTGCATTGCTTCCCTCGCAACGCTGAAAGAGCTAAACGCTGGCTGTTGGTGTTGGGCTGACCATCAACTACCGATACCACCGGCTTGTTTGTGTGCAACGAGCATTTTACAAAGGAGAGCTTCCCGAGTTATGAGCAGATGAAAATGGGCTTTTCTAACCTGCGTTTAAAAGAGGAAGCGGTGCCGATGTTCTTGGTAAGTTTGAATACAAGTGCCCCTGCTTGGCTTTTATGCTTTTACATTTTGCAAGCAAACGCTGAATCAAAGCAAATATGCATGCATTAGAATGCACAAATGCATTGTTCTGTACACATAATTCAGGTCAGTTGTCTCGGCAATTTAATGAATCGATAAACGAGCCAACCAATGTCTTAGTTTTTGAGAATGCGCTAATTTCCCCTAACGTTAGACTTGGCCACTCTATTTTGGACGCAGGTTAATGACGTAAGCGGACGAGCGCCAAAACATCGTACAGTAGAGCTTCAGTTCAACAGTGCGGTCCTGCGGGTGTATTAACGTGTACTATTTCTCAGCGCTGTAAGAAATGTTTGACAGCTGGTCCTGTAAAAGAACAAACATTAAAGCACTAAATCGTGTTACACAAGATCGAAGACACTGATAGCATCCGTTTTTTTATTATATGGGGGACGGTGCGAAGCTTATTTCGTTTAAAACTAACAATAAGGAGTTTGTTTATTCTGAATTGTAATGGATACGAAGGTATTTTCACGTCAGTACATCTTCATATGAGAGGTGGCGGCCTTTTAGACATCGGCGTTGTTGACAATTAATCGTAAATGTCCACAATGCAATAATACAAAGATACTGCACGGCTTCCCTCGCGACCCTGTCACAGCTAGACGTAGGTTTGCGGTTAAATGTCACGTATGGGAAATATCTGTTAATCTTTTTCTAAAGCTAGACGCACGCGGTGCCAACTTTTATCACAACAGCTGAAGAGTTTTACCCAACGGCTTCTGGTAAGTGTTTCTCCTTTTGGTGTGTGTTGTCTGCTCAATATCTCACGCGCTTACTTCCCACCGCGCACCCTCCCATCTCTCCACGCCCATTGCTTGAGCCTCGTCAAAGCGTGTGAAGCACTAGTGCTGAGAGGGGCAGGTTTCACGACCCTTACCTGAAATGAAGTCGCCAGGTTCTCTCTTGTTTTGGTGGTTTGTTTTTGACACACATTCGGTTTTGGTTTGCTGGAAATACTGGTTCAAACTACTTTTTTAGGACCATGAATGTGCATGCAAAGTCTCAACACAGATGTGTTTTAGAAAGGCTGTACACTGTTTTTTCCACAATGGTTTCCATGCAATTTGTCAAAAACCAACACTGAAAAACAGAGTCAGGTAAAACAACAACAACAAAACACTTTATTGTAGCTTGTCAAAGTGTATTATGCAAAATTATATGAGAATTTACTAAATTGAAGGCAGACTTCAGAATAATCTGTGGAGAAATCTATTTGAGTTTAAAAGTCAGAAAATGTTTTTGGTTGTTAGTTTATTGAAACTCAAATAATAGTCTGTTGCAGCACTTAAAAGCTTATAACCTCACAAGTGTTTAAGATCCAGACAACAAAATAGTTATGTACAAATAAATAGCAATAAATTCTATTTACACCAAGTATACAAATTCTAGATAATATTTAAAGTTTTCCTTGGTGTATAAATAGTCACTACAAGTAATCATAACAAAAAACATAAAATAAGTGTTTTTATTTTCTGTCTATGCAGCTAATTCTGAACGTAAAAATATGTTGGTCGAATTGACTTCTTTTTAACATTTAATTTTTGTAATAATAAAAATGTATAATAAAGATTTCTGTCTTCACATGATTCTTTAGTGTATTTCATAGTGTTAATTTTTGGTGAATTGCATGGAAATCAATGAGGGTCAGTTTGACCCCTAACAATTTTATGAACAGCAGGAGAGCAAAGCTATAAAAGTATTTTCCACACCACTTTTTGAATTTAAAATATGACCTAAAATATTTGTGCATTAAATATGCAGATAAAGAATGAGCAGTCTCTTTATTTATTTATTTCATTAATTGTATCAAGAGCTTACAAAACACATTTGCTTTCAAACAGCCGAGAAGGGTATAACTGCAGCCCGGAGATCTCCAAATGGGGGCGGGAACTCCAAAATAGGGCGTGGCTTCCTCCCATTGACAGACAGGCACATGACACGCATGCTCAATTCTAATGATTTTATTGGTTGTGTCAAAGTGTTGATTTCCTACATTATGCTACAAAAAATGCTAACCCCTAAACCTACTCCACACCTGACCCTAACCTTAACCAGTGAAATTGACTGCACGGCGGGATTGGTGCTGAATAGCGTGGTAAAGAAAGTTGCAGTTCAGGAGATAAACGGTTAATAAGATTATACGATATGAGATCGTTCCGTAACTCCCCAACCGGACCGCACCAGACAATGGCACCTTTTTAGTTACACCCAGCATCACTACCCACTCCTACCCTGCGAATTTCGAGCCCCGGGACACCCCAGTTGCTTAGAAAAAAGCGATAGAGTGAAATATTTCCCCTGCGCTGGGACGGCTCGCAGGAGAGCTCGTGGGTGATTCCCGTTTATATCATTATGCAGATGTTCAAACTCCAGTCCGAACAGCACTGGCCACGAGCTTTGGGCTCTGCTCTCACAGAGAATATTTATTTATATAGCATATTTTATTTTAGATGAACTGGAAACAATGTTACATTTATAAAGTTTTATTTTGAAATGTAAGTCAGTAACAATTGGCTGGAGCCAGAGCCAATGGTGAAAGTCTTTGTGCGAGGTAGACCCCGCCCCATTTTGGAGGTTCTGCCCACTTTTGGAGTTCACGCCCCATTTTGGAGATCTCCGGTCTGCAGTTATATCTACTTGAAACAGCTGGCGCCTGACGCGTCGTCGTCTTCTTGCTTTACGGCGGATCGCAGACTTATAAGTGCATTACTGCCACCTTTCTCTCAACTGGACCATTGACACTCTATCTACAATCTCAATTAGGAGTGTCAATGGTCCATTTGAGAGATAGATGGCGGTAATGCACTTAAAAGTCTGCGATCACGCACCGGCTGTTGAGAACGCGCTCAGGACAGTTTGGACATTGCAGTGAATCAGAGGTAAAAAATTATATAAATACTGTTCAGTTTCTTGCACAGACCGATCGTTTCGTGTCTTTACACATCAGTGTATCGTCACGAGCCGCAGGGTTTAATTTGGTTTTGTTTGTGTATGTTTTTTTGACTCTCAAAGCCGTGATTCCCATCCACTGACATTATATGACTGACAGACTGCAACGGTTTGAGTTAAAAATCTTCGTTTGTGTTCTACTGAAGAAACAAAGTCACCTACATCTTGGATGCCCTGGGGGTAAGCAGATAAACATCAAATTTTCATTTTTGGGTGAACTATCCCTTTAACGTCAGTGTGAATTGGCTTTTCTTGTTTTCTTTTTTCTTTAGGTAACGCTTTAATTGGAAAAAAGGATTACTCGAGCAACAAAACGATAGAGATGCCTCCGAGGATAGCAAGACGTTGTGCAGTGCCAAGCTGTGGGAAAACACAGTCTTTGCATTGCCTTCCTTGTGATCCTAACATTAGGAAAGAGTGGATGAATTTTATTTTGGATGCAGTTCCAGATCACGTAAATAAGACACTGTTTATTTGTTCGCTTCATTTTACTGCGGATTCATTTTCAAACAAGTCACAGTTTGATGCAGGCTTTTCAGAGAGACTGAAAATTAAAAATGATGCAGTGCCATCTATATTGGATCCGACAGTTATGTCGTTACACACAAGTGTGAGTAACAATGTTTTTACCATTTGTCACTATTGCTTTTTGTTTGATATGTACTTATCATTTATTTATTTTATTAAGTTTTTAACCAAAATTACCTATATTGTTTTATTTATTCACTCTAAACTGTTACCCAATCATAGCAGTGGGCACTTCCAAGTCTTGAATGCAGCAGTCCTCCCAAAACAGTGTTTCAAAAAGTGGGTCAAAAACAGGATCGATAATGGCATATTACTTATAAATTATGATAAAATTAGGGCTGTTTTTTGTATTGATTGAGTTTTTTTTTTTTCAATTAGTCAATTTGTAAAATTATTTTCCCCTGATATATATATATATATATATACAGTGCCGTGAAAAGGTTTTTGCCCCCTTCCTGTTTTTAATTTTTTTTGCATATGTCACACTTAAAAGATTCAGATCGTCAAAGAAATTTTAATATTACACAAAGATAATGCAAATAAATACAAAATGCAGTTTT